TACTTCGGCCATTTTGACTCACTTCCCTGAAGGCATAGTTCGAGCTGGTACGGATGCACTTCGCTTCGCGTTGCTTCGTCACGACTTATTAGCCTCCGACATTCCATTGAAAGTTGCTGAACTATCAAACGAGGTTTGATATTTTATTGCAAAGGACTACAGTCGTCAACTTTGGAAACAAGCAATATGTTCTGCAATATAAGCCGAATATAGCCGTTAATGAAGCGGAGGTAGTTTAGTGGTAAATGACACGTTTACACGTACGGTCCTTGGGTGAGATCCTGGGTTCATTTGCCGCCTCGTCCTGCCAAGCCTTCTTTCCTCCGGGAGAAGGAATGCTTGGCGCATCTCAGGAAGAAACTGATTAGCTTGAAAGACTTTATTTTCCAGCCTTCATGTTCAATGGAAGAGAAACATGGTGCATCATCGGGAGGGGTGCTATAACACCCCTCCCCCGTTTCCTGCCTCGGAACGATTCCCTAACTGCGTACCTCATCCCGTTTACCAGCTTATCCAATTCCCGAAGATTTTTCAGGGGGTAACGTCTCTTATCAACTACCAGCATTTTTTTCAAGGGGGCAAATACGGCCCGCTACTCAGCGAACAAGTAAAGCTCCCTTGATAGGTTTCGCAAGGATGATGCACGCGAGCAGAAAGCCTGTGCATATTCTCATCTCACCACGGTTCGATATGTGAAGTGGCTCTACTCATTTATTGTAACTTTATAGGCAACCGAAAGCTCTCAGCCGATAAAATCCGCTATTTTAGGGACTTCGCTTCTGTAACAAATTGTGGAATATGGTGGCGTATGTCGAAACGGTCGCCGAGAATTCACAAACCTTAAGAGACGTGGATTCTGAGCATCCCGCGGTTCGCACCTTCATATAATTTTTTAGTATTAAAAACTGTCTACAAAATTGGAGTAATTAAGGATGAATGGATTTTGTCTCGGCTGGGAGGTACGTTAGAGAAGGTGGACAAGCATATGTCGGAGCACATGCCTCATCTAGCCTTTATGGAGTTGCAAAACTTCATTCTAGGGTCACTGTGCGATGTTTATCTGGTTAGTTATTGATTAGTTTCAGCGTGAATTTTTCGTCAGAGATCTTTTTTTTGAAATTTTCACTAATGCCTCATTCAGGAGACAACCAAACGCGCTCTCTGGGATAAGGACCTTGCCAGGATCGAAGAAATTCGAACGACGCTGAATCGCGTCGTGCAGCCAACGCTTGTCCAGCTTTCTGTGTTCATGCCCTTCGTGGCTGAACATTTATATGAACGGCTGTTTAAAAGAGAACCCGGCTCAATTTATTTTGATTTTGTCAAGGTACATCTCTTTACTACTGTTTTTCTTGGCTTCATGAGCATAGACGTTCATTGTTGTGCTCCTAGACGAAATAGGACTCCTAATATAGACAGCTCTACTATAGGTGTCCTTCTTCCAACTACAGAGATCTAGTGAGCTCGAATCAGACATGGATATTCTGCTGGGAATAGTCAGCACTGTGCGATCCATACGCCATCAACTTCAATTGCCTTCTTCAATGATATTCAGTGGTAAGTTCTGCGACACGTTGGTACTAAAAAGGTGAAATTGTGATATCAGAGTCCCTACTTTCATCGTTTAACCGTCATGAGTAATGAAACAAACAAGTAATGAATCAGTCTATCTTCTAGTATCTTCTTAGCTGGGACTCGGAATGGGCTTATTCACTTTGAAAGCTATCGCGCAGCTTGCACAGTTCGAGCAGGGGAGCTGCGCCACTTCAACTAAAAACTTCACTTGGAACTGACAAAAAGATCGCTCGTCAAGAAACGGTTGACAGCAATGATGACGTGAAGGAGAAATACAGCCAGCTATGATCATTCGATTTATGAAACTCCCGTTTACTTAAAGGCATGTTCTGGGTTCGAAAATAATCAGCTTTGCGGCTAAAATGCTTACAGGCATTTGTAATCACTTTGCACTCCA